CCTGATTATTGTGGTTGTTTCTTTTGTTGTGTTTAGGTTTTAGCTCAGTTGTGTTAGAGTCTCTGAGATGAAGCTCTGAACAACTTTGAAAATAAAATGAGCTTTAGGTGATTTTTGTAGGTTAGGAATTTTTGAGTATTTGTTGCTCTAAGTCTCTTTAGCTTAGGGTTTCTTCTTGTGCTTTGTGTGAAAAAATTGAGTACAATATATAGCACTCTCGGGTGATGAGAGATACGTGTGTGAGAGTGAAAATGTAGATATTTGTATCCCTCAAGTGTGTGGGATTTTGGTTTGGATAAGAATAAAACTACAATTGTTTAGAATGTTTTGAATCAATCCATGATAATATGGGATTTAGGGTGAGTGTAAGGAAGTGATCATGTAAGGCCATGTGCAAGGTTTTGAATGAAATTTCATCTTGTTTTCACTGATGTAGTGAAAAGGTTGTTTCAAACAAATGCACTGTCTCTTTCTTCTTTTTACCGCAGTGAATGGTGTCATAATTTTATTTTGAAAAACTTTGATGAAAAATTGAATTTGGCACATTTGACTTATGTTGCATAATTCTCTTTTGCATTCCCTTGGTTGTATTGATTTAAAAATATTGTTGTTGTGTAAACTTGTTTGCCTTGCCTTCTGTGTTAAACTGAAAACAATGTTGCAATATGAAGTTGAATGATAATGGTCTTGCCTTGAATTGAGTCGTCTCAAAGCATGAAGGTTAGCAAAATGGCTTCAAGTGGGGGATGCAAAGGGTATGCCTAGATGCTGGTTTGGTGATGGATCAATGGAGAAAAGATGGATCACGTGGAAACTTGAAGATTTAACATAATTAGCATTTTAGACTTTAAGGGAGGATTGAAGATGTTGGCCAAATTGGCATTAGGCCTTGCTTTTGCAAAGTAGCTTTGTACTTAGGTTCATGTAGAGAAATATTCAAATGTACAGAAAAAAAATTGTAGTTTGAAATGCAAATGTTAATTTTTTGTTTGTTTGTTGATATAATGTATGAATTGTATTAGCATTTAAAAACATTAGAAATGAGAATGAGAATGCATGGATTGAAATTGAAATTACTTTAATCAATAAGACCAAAAATGAATGAGAATGCATGGACAAAACTTATGTAACTTCAAATCATTTAAAATTTCAACTAAAATCTCAAATGAAAATTCATAAGTTTTAAATCAATGAGCACCTAATAAAATGCAAATACACATGAAGCCACACATGTTTGAAAATGGATGTGTGAACTAACCATGTACCACACCAGATGAAATGCAAACTATTGAATTTTCTCTGTTAACTTTCACTGATGCTTGCTAATGAGACCTAATGACCAAATACAATGGTCACTATGAGATGATGCAAATGAGAAGTAGTTGAAATGGTGGAAAAGATTTGGTGAAAATTTCAAGGTATGCTCATATTTTCCAAGCTTTACAAATTGACCTTTAAATTTTCTAAAAATTGAAAATTATTTTTTAATGATTTGCAAATTACAAATTAATCTTTTAAACTTTTTAAAATTGCAATTTTATCTTAAACTTGCAAAATTTTAAAGTTAACCTTAAATTTTTACGAGAATTTTTTATTGTTGTAAAAATTAGAAAAATAAGAAATATAAGTTTATTTATTTAATAATTTTTTATTGTTGTAAAATTTAAAAAATCAAAAATATAAGTTAATGATATAATTGTAAAAATATAAGTTTATGATCTAATTGTAAAAATATAAGTTTATTTATTTAATTATATTTTTATTATTATTAAATAAAATTGAAAAATATAATTGACATATTGATTTTTTAGATTTATATATATATATATATATATTATAAAAACAAACCCATTTTAAAATAATTTTCACAACAATGTTTTTTTGCTTTATTGAATAATAATAATTTTTGTTTAAATTTTGTCAAAAATTATTTTTTATTTATTTTCTTTAAGATGATTTTAGTACATATTATTCTTATTTAAGACATTTTTTAAGATTTCATAGTTGTTGCAAATTCTTTTAAAAAATATTTATAAAATTAGAATGATATTTTTAATCTCTATTTATTCTATTTTATTAATTATTTTTAATATGAATTGTGAAAATTTTTAATTTTAAATTAAATTTTAATAATTAATATAAATTTATTAAAGAAAATATTAATTTTACTTAATATTTATTTTTTGTTTTTGTGAAATTAAAAAATATAATCTTATATATTTTTAATTCAATAAATTTAATAAAAGAAATACATTTTTTTGAAAGTTGTGTCCAAATACATCTATTTTTCTTGCAAGTCAACATAACATAGAAAACGATGCCATGTATTTGATTTTATGCAATTTATTTTAATGTTTATTATAAAACCGAAAAAATTACAAATTGGGTGAAAAGAAATGAACTTGGGAACGAAGGTGCAAGAGGTTTCTCCACTCGACTGAGAGAGTAGCTCTGAATAGCTGTGTGGAAGAGGCTTCGTAAAGAGAGTTCCTCCAATCAGTGATTACGTAAACACCTCCAAACCAACGCGGGGTTAGATTCATCATTCTTACATCTCTCTTTTTTCTTTTTTCCTAATTCGATTTTACGTAACTCCACACACACAACTTGTTTGATGAAATGCTTCATTGAACCCACCCATTTGGCTCTGTTACTGGAAACTGGGAACGCGTTGTTGTTGTTATTACTATTTGTAGCTATTAACTGTTTGATGAAATGGCTCTGTGATTTTTGCTATCAGAAATTGTGCTTAACTTTAAACTGTGTATGTTTGAGGATATTGGGTTGAGTTTAGCTTAATGTTTGAGCATTTGAGCTTCTTGATAGTTTGTTATGATTTATGTAGCATCCATATTTGTGAAAAAATGTGTGTCAAAGTCGGTGTCCAAAACTAACACCGATTATTTTTATTTTAAATTACTATCAGTGTCGTTAGCCTTCGTGCTTCATATGTTAGGACTTGTTTGGATTGGTTGATTGAGTTTATGTAGTGGCATAAGCACTTGTTGGGATATTGTTTGATAGAGGTTACACCAGCAACTTATGACATGGCTCTAAACTAAACTAAGCTATTTTCATTACTATTCTGCGATAGTTTATTAAAATCACTAATAGTTTATAAGTTTAATTAAGCTGTTTATCTAAACGGGGCCGTGATAGTTAATTCGTTGGACTTAATTCCTTCATTTGTTTGGTTCTATTGGTTAGTAATGCATTCAAATCATTGTGTATGCCTTCTATGCAGTTGCAGCTTAAAGTATTCAATAAGCACTTATAAACAAGCACTACTGTAGAAAAGTTAAGTTTTAATGTAGTTATGAAATTTTTTTGAAGCGTTTTTTTTCATTAGTTAAGAAACAAGCACTACTGTGTGCCTGAGGTATAGAACAATAACCCAAATTATAATTTTTCAATAGCAGCTACAGTGCCACAATATAACACTTATATGACAATTTTTAACAAATAGCAATTGTTTCACAATACACATTCCCATACAAACTACATAGTTTTGTCAAATAAATCACTACCCTGTACATTAAACTTCTTCCATTTTCCAAATTATTATCAATGTGACATGTTAGTATCAGTGTTGTGTATGTTCTTTGTGTCTACATAAGTGCTGTGACAGGTGCGGTTTTCCATTTCTGAAAGTTCCTTAGTTGTAACTGTAGTTCGTTGTTTGTTTCCATGTTTATCATTAAAAGTAAATGTGTAGTGGTGTCTGTCCTTAGGACATTGTTATAGTCTCCCATTACTATCCATGGTGTCTTAATGGTACTGCCCAAGGTTTCTATCTCCATAATATATTTTCGTTTTTCAAGCTGATTGTAAGTATACAGAAGTGTAACATTGTATAGCAATGTTTGATCCATTCCAAGAACCTCCAAATGGATAAATTGGTCAGTTGTCTTCAATACTTTCATTCTAATCTTATTGTGCTTCCAACTATAAAAGCAATATTTAAATTCATTGATTGATATCTTATTGACCATTTCAACTATAAAAGTTATATCTAAATTCATTGATTAATCTCTTATTAATCATGGTTTTGTTTGCTTGGACAGGTTAAAGGAAAGGTTATCCAAGTTTATCATGACAGTAAGGATAAAGGAAAGGTTATATTAAGTTAAGTAAAGTTCAGTAAAAATGTTTCTCTATAAGTAACAATATAAGAGAGGCATATGCATGCAAATATGATTGTAACACAAAAAGTAGTGTTTATTTATAATTTTTCCTGTTTTTACTTTATATCAGCTTAGCTGTAAATACATATAATTGTTTTTACTTTATATCAGCTTAGCTGTAAATACATATAATTTCCCTCTTTATTTACTTTGGATGAAGCCATGCTTTTTCTTAATTTTTCATTTTGTAGGAAGCTAGTGTCATTCCTTTTGCTGCACTGACAGCTTGGCGTGCTCTGAGTGGAACTGCTAGAATAACTGAAGGGCATGTTTATGATGCTGTTAACAGCTCTTTTAGCCAATATTTTGTAACTTAAGTTACAATGAAGATCTACAAGCTGAATGGTTGGCGTGCCGGAGAAAGGTTAGTTTTTAGTCGAATAGGACATTTATATGTGGTTGCAGTTGCTGTTATATGCTTTCTTAAATGTTGGTTGGTGTACCTTTTGATTGCCTTAAAAAATGTTAGTGTTTGTATGACTTTGCAGTTGATGTCATCATATCTGAATGGATGGGTTACCTTCTTCTGCGAGAATCTATGTTCGATTCTGTTATATGTGCTCGTGACCGCTGACTTAAACCAACAGGAGTGATGTAAGTATTGTTTTCTTCTAAGATATTTATGGAAATGAAGTTTTTCTAACATTAACATTCATTTTGTGAATGAGTAAATCTTTGGTGGCTACTGGTGTTATGTTACAGTTGCAATTAATTTAAAAATATTTATTTTCTAGGTATCCCAGTCATGCTCGCATGTGGATGGCGCCCATCAGGATTGGAATAGTAGAATAAAAATTGGATGATTACCAATCTGCTATGGGTGATTGGCACAACTTTGTTGATGAAACAAAAGCCTGTCATGGTGTTGATATAAGCACCTTGGCAAAGCCTTTTGCAGAGGAGCAGAGCAAATACTATCTACAGGCAAGTTTTAAACTTAATACACTTTAAGTGTATTTGTTATGTTTCAGTTAAATTAAATGAAATTTTGGTTATGGTTAAAGTTGTTGGCTCTACATCATGTGCTGGCTTGTAGAGACACATGGTGGACTGGTAGATTTGAAGCTTATCTTTGGGATAAGAATTCTTGGAACAACATTCAGAACAAGAAGGGAAAACAAGGTTAAAAAAATATTATTAAAAAATAGAGAAGATAAGTGAGAGAAAATGAAGAGATCTATTATGTTTTGTTTATCATTATTCTTATTATATTTGTGAGTTTCTAACTATTGTTTTATTGTTTGCAATCTCTGTCGTTATAACGTTCACAATCACTTGCGGATGATTTAGTTTATTTAGGTAAGTAATTTTTTGATCTAGTCAACATTTTCAATTTTATAAACTAGTATTAGTATTAATTAATTATTATTGATATGTAATAAGATTCTGATTATGATGCGTTGGACCCAATTATATTATTTTAATTATAATTAGTATATTGTTATTTAATGTTGTTACATAGGTGCTTATGATACTGAAGAAGGTTTTATACATACCCCAACTGAATGATGATGCATCAGGAACTTTACCAGGGAGACATAGTATAGAAGATTTTCTTGAGGAGGTGAAAGAGCGTCTAAAATGCGAACTCCAAGGAAAAAATGTCGCAAAAGGTTATGCTGTTTGAGGAAGCGAAATCGAGACACTGCGCAATAAAAAACCATCTGATCCTAAACTCATTGCTCGTCAAATTGTAAAGCAGGTCAAAGAAAATGTGAATAGAGATTCTGACTCAAATTCGGGCTGCTCCGAATCAACAAGATCATACAAAGGTGAAGTGAAGCTAAACGGACCGAATTATCCAGAATTTATCAGAAGAGATACAAGGACTTACTTGTCAGAGAAGCTAACAAATAATGTAAAAAGTGAAAGACGCGATGATGACATTTATGAAGTGAACTCAAGATCACATTCATTTGACAATCAAAGAGTTAGACACAAGAAGACAGAAGCTGTTTTACATTGTGCAAACGAATGAGAAATGTCGAAACAGGAAACGGAAATACAAACAGGATCTTTCAGGCACAAACAAGACAACGACATTTTGCATCACAGGGAGTTGTTGTCTCCAAGGAACCTAGTAAGATCATTGTCAGCTCCTGTATCAAGATCAGGAACATCATTTGGAAAGCCTCTTCTAGAGGACCGACACATTTTAGCCGGCATTTTATGGGGTATGTATATTTCTTCTAAGTTGAGTAACCTCGTTCAGTTGTTTGCATTCTTTAACAAACTCATGGAGATTGTGTAATATTGATTAATATGCAGATATTTGATGGACATGGTGGTGTTGATGCCGCATCATTTATTAAAAAGAACATGTTTAACTTTATAATTGAAGATTCTCAATTCCCACCTAGCATTAAGAAGGCAGTTAAGAATGCATTTGTGAAGGCTGATCATGCATTTAGAGATGCCGGTACACTTGATAGTTCCTCAGGAACCACAACTCTAATAGCCCTTGTCTTGGGAAGGTAAGGTCAAAGACCTAAGCACCATCTATACATTTAATTAAGCTGTAAATCTTAGCTAACTTCTTATGTTACAGGGCTGTGCTGGTTGCGAATGCAGGAGATTCGCGTGCAGTATTAGGCAAACGCGGCCGAGCAGTTGGACTTTCAAAAGACCATAAACCAAATTGCACGTCTGAAAGATTAAGAATTGAAAAACTAGGTGGTGTTATCTATGACGGTTACCTAAATGGACAACTATCAGTGGCACGTGCACTAGGAGATTGGCACATAAAAGGTTCAAAAGGTTCAAAAAGTCCCTAAGCTGTGAGCCAGAGAATGTTCACTGTGCGAATTTATGGCGAGGTCCCAGCGAACCATCTTAAAAAGATGGCAGAAAGAAAAGGGCAAGAGAATGTTCACTGTACGAATTTATGGCGAGGTCCCAGCGAACCATCTTAGAAAGATGGCAGAAGGAAAAGGGCAGTAAGTTTGCTGTGCGAACTAACAACGAATGTTCGCTTTGGCGAAGTCTCAGCGGCGAACCATCACAGATTGAAGTCAAGTAGCTAAATAATGGAACTGATAATTCAAGTGAAGATGATGTTGATGAATCAGATGAAGACATTAGTGAATTTTGATTTGGATTGTTTTTTTTTATTAATTTGATTGGACAAGTGATTATTAGTAACTTGATTGTGTCATTTTTAGTAATATAACTCAATAAGTACTTGTTATCGACTATATAGTAATATTTGGTTGCTTTAAAAAATTGAATGTGATTAGTGTTGCATTGTCTTATTCAAATTAGATTTTTATTTTTACTTTGATATTCAAATTAGATTTTTATTTTTACATGACATAATCCATTCAAATATCATTATGTCAATCATTGATTCACAATCAACAAATCATCTTCAAATTGCATATCGTAATGTCAACAAAACATCTTCAAATTACATATCCCAATGTCAATCATCATTCATAGTCAAAATAACATCTTTAATCTATAAAATTAAACTTAAACATCTACATCTCTACATCTAAGTTTCTTCATCTTCAAATGATTCAAAATCTTCATTGATATTATCATTTATGACCTGCAAAAAAAAAAAAAAAATTTAAATAAGATTATTATTCGAAGGAACATAAAATATAGACATAAATTCTACCTCACACTGCATATCATCACCAGAATATTAGCCGTCAACTTAGTATTGTGATTATCATGCTTAACAAAATTGCACTTGAGAAAAAAACATACCTCTGTGGGAAAGTGTGATGATGCCAATGGCTTCATGTATTCATTAAATGTTTTCTTGTAAAACTCGTTGTAGTCCTCTTTGATGACTTCTTTAGGATTACGAAGTTGCGCAAATAGAATAATGTGTAAATCTTCATCTTAGGCAACCAACTTCCACTTTAAGCACAAATCATGCAGTTGGAAATCATAAAACTAACCCAGATAGGTTGTGTCTCATTTGTGAGCTCCCAGTCCCAATACTTCTCAACAACAGTCTTAGTTTTCTTCTTCTTCTGTAATAAAAATGCATCAGATTATAAAACGGCCAGCACATATGCAGCAGTTATACAACCAAATTTGTAATCATAATTTCATAGACAATTGATTCAGGGAATGCACGGTATGTGCAAAACATTACCTCAGTCTTCTAATCTTGGTTGTTCATTTTCGCCTCAGCTGGATCCTCATCAACCTCTATCTATAATGGACAAATTATGATAAAAGCTCAAAAACCAATTTCACATCCAGTTTTCAAGGGTTGTGGAATGAAACAATCACAAAAACGGGCAGCGTCAACAAAATTAAAAGATCTGGAGTGCATAGTCATACTTCTTTGGTGAATCTCGTTTCCTGCCAAGTGTATATTGGGAATGAGACAAATTGGGAGTAGTTTTTCACAAGCTTCTCAATTCACTCTGAGATGTGCAAAACCTTTGTCATCCCTCTGAAAACCAGCAGTGGGTTAAATGCACAGACAACATAAGCTCCAGAATAAAGAAACTAAAATACTATCAGAAGTTCTAAAATAGAAAATTTTGACATACCTTTAGATGCAGGGTAAGGCGAGTTCCTCTTGGAATCAGCTTCTCCTGATCCGTCTCCTCAGATATGGTATATGAGCTAGCATTTACCTCTCCTTCCCAAACGTATTGTTTATCTGATCTTGGACTCTTGGTTGAGACAACCACCTTCAAACCATACAAAAATATACATATATAAACTGCCAAGTATAAACTTAAAATTAAGTACCACGCCATCATCAGTTTTATCCAAATGCATACCCGATCAGCAACTAGAAAAGCAGAATAAAATCCCACACCAAATTGACCAATTAAGTTGTTGTCACCACCAGCACCCTTGCTATCCTATTGAATGAAACACCTTTGTCAGCACACAGGATACATAACAAAATAAAATAAGGTCAATATAATCCTAAATCATTCTTCAGAAGAGGCAAGACCTTGAGAGCCTTCAAAAACTTTGCAGTTCCACTTTGAGCAATAGTTCCAAGACAGTCAACTAGTTCCTGCTTAGTCATGCCAATGCCTGTATCACTGCAAAAAAGCAAAAGTTACAGCACCAACTGCATTGAAACAAATGAAAAAATTAATTAATTAAAAGTGACTTGTCTTACGTAATAGTGATGATCCCATTATCTTTATCAGCTTGGATTCGGATGTCAAAATCAATCGCATCCTTCATCAAGTCAAGCTCTGTAACACTCAAAAACCGCAGCTTATCCAAGGCATCACTTGCATTACTGAGAAAAAAATTGCACATATTAACAAACTTAATAATGCAGTGCAGCGCAGCATCTTGAATTTTTCAACAATATTTACAGAACAAATTTTGAAGTGGAGCTTCCATGCAAGGGTTCTTTAAGATCAAAAGGTTCAACTTAAGGAATTATCCTCTTGTAAGTTAAAGGTAAAACGACCTACAAACAATAAATGCATAACAGGTCCAACCCTTCACAAGTTTATGCCATTATAAGAGATTCATAACACTAGATTGACCTGATTTCTAGAAATAGTTTTCTAGTAGAAAGAGAGAGAAGCTTAAGTAACTTTTTTCAAAATGAATACTGAAACTTGCTGCAATCTATTGGGGGAGGGGGAAACTAGAACTAGTGTATACCCTTAAAAGGGCAACTTAAGTTAGTAATATTATACGCATAATTGAAGGGAAAAACATTCACCAATGCTTAAATTATGTAATTCTATCTACAAGTGACGGAACGTACCTGATAAGTTCCCTGAGAAACACTTCCTTGTTACTGTATAAACTGTTAACAATAAGGTCCATGAGCCAACTAACCTGCCAAAGATACACAGTATCCAAAACAATGTTCACGATATATATCAAGTGCACTAGAGGTAACAAACCACACACATAAGAAAGACGACAATACCTCTGCTTGGTACTCAAATTTCTCAGCTGGTGGGGAACTTGATGCACTAGATTCTGCAACAGTTGATTGATATCGTTTTCCCAAAAACAAATCTCTTTTCAAGTTTAGCTGATCAACACTGCCGGATTTCTCAGAACCTAATAATGAATACCATCTGGATTTTGAGTCATTCTCTCCCACCTGTTGATAGAGGAGGTGCGGATAGTGAATTAAATGAGAATGTGGACATTGAGTATGGGCCCAAACCTAAGACTTGGAAGGTGTACACAAGGAAAAGGAAGAAGCATGACGTGGCTAAGAATCACCTGAAGGCGTGAGATGCATGTGACAGTAGTGCTATATAAGGATTAAGAAGAGAATAGAGAGGCAGCCAAGTTTTCAGTTAGTAGTGGGGTCACTTTTGAGTGATTTGTGGGAGGCCTGCGTGCCTAGGGATTGGTATAATCATTTACCAATTTGTCTTCTACCTTTTTCTGTTATTACAGTCTGTTTCACACTTTACTTGTAATTGTTCAGATCTTAATACAATTACAGTTTATTCTCTTCTATTTTCCTGTAACTGTTCCATTCATCAGAAAAGAACCCATCACCTGCCCCCAATCAGAAAACATAAGATATGTATAAA